CCCGGCCACGCGGCCGGCCGGGCCTGCTCGCGCTTTTTAGGCTGGGTGCCAGATTCGGGGAAAGGAGCCACTGGTGTCACCCCCGACTTCCAGGAGGCCGAAACGGGGGGTCCTCGTCTGCCCCGGGGACGCGGCCACGCCGCCCCCTCCCCGGGGCCCGGCGGCCCTGTCCCCTTCAGGCCCCGCCCGGGTGACCTTGGGTGAGCCGTCCTCACCTCCGCGGGGTGCGCTCCGCTCTCCCCGCCCGGCCCGGCCTCGACCCCGCCCCAAGATGGGTTCGACTCGGGGCCGGGAAGGCGAGTCCTTAGCCCTTGGGGGCAGCGGGCGCCTAGGAAGCCGGGGACGGAATTACCAGTAGCCCTCACCCCGGCCAGGCCCTCCCCCCTCCCAAACCGAGTATTTATGGGCAGGAAATGTCTTTTCTTTCAAGTAGATTTCGGGTTTTTTCTAAAGAATTGCTCTGGGCGGAGTTGAACCAACGCTCGATTGGGACTTCTGAGGTCTGAAATTTTATCCTGGCCCGACCCCTTACCGACTCTGCCTTGGGCCTCAGTTTCCCTACTGTAAAGTAAAGAAGCGACGTGTGACAGTGGCTTCAAACTTCAGAGGACATTAAATTCAATAAATATTTACTGACCTCAGATTGCGGGGGCCTGCAGGGTCCTAGGAAACGGGTTTGGCAATAAACCAGGCTAACTAAAGTCCCTAACCTCACGAAATTTGCTTTCTAAGGTGGGGAAAGAGACAAACAAAAACAAGAGTAATCAGTTACACCAGATAGGCTGCTTTCGTTTAGGTGATGAGGGAAGACTCCTTTGAACACAGATTCCAGAGTGTTAGGAATCAGGCTTGGTCTGGGACTGGGCCCAGAAATCTGCGTGTCTCGCAAGATCTCTTCGTGCTTACTGAACCGGATGGTCCCAGCTTCACTTGGAGAAGTCCTGGCTTCTGACAGGCGGTGGTCCCACCTGCTCAAGACATAGTGGTCTGTAATGTTAACTATATCCAAAACAAGAATGAGAGCACACGACCTGTTGGACTGAGGAAAGGGCTTAATGAAAAGAGCCTTGGGACTATGCCAGGCAAGAGTACCGGGGAGATTGACTGGTGGGGACAGCCGGGCCATCTGATGTCCAGTTCTAGCTCTTCAATTACTCAGCCTCCAATCCTTGGCCAGCTGGTCACACTTCCCTGGCCCCCTTTCCTGGTGGATAAATGGGGGTAAATAATGCATGACATGTTCACACCATCTTGGCTTTTGTGATGGGTAGAGACAATGTTAGTCAAAGTGCTGTGTAAATTCTACAGACTGAAGCCAGTGCTTCAAAAGAGGTACCAAGGAAGGTAATAGCTAAAGAGGTCCCAGCCAGGCACAGTGGCTCACACTTGTAATCCCAGCACTTCAGGAGGCTAAGGTGAGAGGACTGGTTGAGGCCAGGAGTTTGAGACCAGCCTGGGCAACATAGCACCATCTCCACAAAAAATAAAAATAAAGGGATCTCAATGAATTTAAGAAAAATGTACCTAATTGCACTATGTATGTATGTGTATATGTGTGTGTATAAGTTTATAGATATATCAGTTTATATAGATATATCTATAAACTTAATTATCAGGATGAGCATGGTGGCTCACGCCTGTAATTCTAGCACTTTGGGAGGCTGCAGCAGGAAGATTGCTTGAGCTGAGGAATTCAAGACTGGCCTAGGCAACATAAGGAGACCTCCCTCGTACCTACAAAAAATATGAAAATTAGCCAGGTGTGGTGGCATGCACATGTAGTTCTAGCTACTCAGAGACGGAGGTAGAAAGATCATTTGAGCCCAGAAGGTCAAGGCTGTGGTAGGCCGGGCGCAGTGGCTCACGCCTATAATCCCAGCACTTTGGGAGGCCGAGGTGAGAGGATTGCCTGAGCTCATGGGTTCAAGACCAGCCTGGGTAACGTGGCAAGACCTCATTTCTACAATAAATCAAAAAATTAGCCGGGCATGGTGGTGCATGCCTGTAGTTCCAGCTACTTGGAAGGCTGAGGCAGAAGGATCACCTAAGCCCAGCAGATCAAGGCTACAGTGGCCATGAGCATGCTACTGCCCTCCAGTCTAGGAAATAGAATGAGACTCCAACTCAAAAAAAAAAAAGGCTGTGGTAAGCCTGATTGTGGTAAGCCTGATTGTGAGACCAACAGAGTGAGACCTTCACACACACACACACACACACACACACACACACACACACACACACACACGTATCCTCTGGGAGATAATGAGGTCATAAGGATGGGGCCCCGCATAATGGGATTAGTGCCCTCATTCCCTGCTGCCTCTCTTTCCTGCCTTGCAAAGACACAAGGAGGCAGGTAGAGGACAGCTGTTTAGAAGTCAGGAAGAGCTCCCCCACCAGAAACTGACTATGCTGGCACCTTGATCTTGGACTTCTTGCTTCCAGAGAAAATAAATTTCTGTTGTTTAAACCATCCAGTTTATTCCATTTTGTTATGGCAGTCCAAGCTGACTAAAACAGTCTTTTATGAATCACACTATCATATTTATTTATTTATTTATTTATTTTTGAGCCAGCCTCTCACTCTGTCATCCAGGCTGGAGTGCAATGGCACAATCACAGCTCACCACAACCTTCATTTGCAGGGCTCAGACAATCTTTCTGCCTCAGCCTCCCGAGTAACTGAGACTACAAGTGTATGCCACCACACCCAGCTAATTTTTTTGATTTTTTTTATAGAGAAGAGGTCTTGCTATGTTGCCCAAGCTGGTCTCAAGCTTCTGGGCTCAAGCGATTCTCTCACCTTGGCCTCCCAAAGCGCTGGGAATACAGGCATGAGCCACCACACCCAGCCTTTAATATTTCTTTGCAGCAAAAATGTGAATATAAAATAACTTTGTTGCTGTTTGCTTGGTTTGGTTGTTTTTAAAAAGTTTTGAATGCCTATAAACATAAGCTTTTAACTATTACAAAATGTCTTCGGGTACCCCCTCAGATTCCTTCTCACTGTGGGAGCTTTTCTGTTCTCTCAATAAATCCCACTTTCAAAAAAAAAAAGTCTTCTGGGTTTAAAAAAATCACACATTGCCATGAGAATGCACTACTTTTTTTTTGTTTGTTTGTTTTTGAGTTGGAGTCTCACTCTGTCGCCCAGACTGGAGTGCAATGGCCACTCCTGGCCACCGCAGCCTTGACCTACTGGGCTCCGGCGATCTTTCCGCCTCAGCCTTCCGAGTAGCCGGAATTACAGACATGCGCTACCACGCCCGGCTGATTTTTGATTTATTGTAGAGGTGAGGTCTCGCCAAGTTGCCTGGCCGGGTCTCAAACCCGCGGTTTCAGGCAATCCACTTACCTCAGCCTCCCAAAGGCATGGGATTACAGGCTGAGCCACCGAGCCTGGCTGAATGCACTACTTTTTAAAAACTTATTGATATGTATTTCCTAAAAAGATTATTCATTCAGGACCCTCTCTGGACTTTGTTAATAGGGGACATAGTGATCACTGTTGGTCATTCTTTTTTTTTTTTTTTTTTTTGAGTTGGAGTCTTACTCTGTCGCCCAGACTGGAATGCAGTGGCTGCTAACGGCCACCGCAACCTCGACCTGCTGGGCTCCGACGATCCTTCCGCCTCAGCCTTCCAAGTAGCTGGAACTACAGGTGCGTGCTACCACGCCCGGCTAATTTTGATTTGTTGTAGAGATGAGGTCTCGCCAAGTTGCCCAGGTGGGTCTCGAACCCACAGTCTCAGGCAATCCACTCACCTTAGCCTCCCAAAGGCGCGGGATTACAGGCTGAGCCACCGAGCCTGGCGGTCATTCTTTAT